CTAAACCCCAAACCTCAATACCTTAAACCCTAAACCCGAGAAGAAGTATTGCAAACAGAAGCATGGAGAAGCAGTACGTACTTCGTGCCCGAAGTCTGCCTGGCCTGGAGTCCGAGTGTGAGCACCGAAGTCTACCTGGGCATGTGTCGACGGATGGGTTTCGCGTTTAGGGGCACGTTTAGTGCTTGAGCACACTGTGTGGGTGCTCTTGGGAGTCTTTTCAATGCCATGCCCAATATCATACACGTACCATCCAGTTCGGTTCGCTCCCTTCTAAACTAGTCTCTTACAGCCTCTGCATTCATGCTGTCATGAGTGCAGCATGGAAAGCAGCTGTCCTGGCGCGACGTTGCAAGCCATCGGTTTTCGGCCTTTTTTCGCGCACGGCTGTTGAAACGGCTTGAGTCATGCACGCTCAGGACTGCACCGTGCAGACCTTGGACGTCGGAGCCCTGCGAATATCGCCTGCCCCGAGGCCTGGGGCTAGAGCCACGTAGCATGCTGAAACCTTTAAAGGTTTAGGGTTCATGTCGGGGTTTTTACCCTCAATATGAAGCCACCGCTCCTTAGCCCAAAAGCCCAGCCCCACAACCTCCAGAAAGTTCCGAGAAAGAAAGCTCCAAAGCCCTCACTGCTCAACAGGCAGCAACCCGTACCATCGCCTCTCACGACAGCAAATGCCGGTAGCCAGGCGTGGGCTAGCGGCTGACAATGTCTTCAGATTTTTCGGTTTCATGGCTAGACATGAGTCCAGTGGTAAACAGGGTTTAGGGTTGAGGATTTCACGGACAGGGGTGGATTATCTGCAACATGCAGCCCCCATCTGGTGCAGAACAATAACCTCGCCTGCCTTGTCCGAGCGTGAGCACCGAAACCCTAAGCCGCGCTCGTTGTACCAGGAACTGCGCCCAAGCAAGTCCGAGTGTGAATGGCCCTGAACTAATAAACCGATCGCCGGTCAACTGAAGACCCTAGAGAGAATAAACCTTGACCGTGCATTACCTGTAGTCTCCATTGTAGTTCCTTTTTGGGGATGCCTCATAAAATCCTTCCTATATAATTGGTTCAACAAAGAAGGAACTACGATGGAGACTATAGGTAGGGCCCAGGAAAAACCTTAGACCACCTGCTGCCCCAACAAATGTTTGTCGGCATTCTTGGCTTCAGAGAGCAAGGGACCTCCCACCATTAGATTGCAGAGACGCCCACGATGTGCTGCCGAGTTTTCAGAACCCTTCCACATGCACTCGCCGAAGGTCTGAAAAGTATCGAGGTCTCTGTGTAATTAGGGGCACTGGGTGATACCCGGCAAAATCTTTGTTTAAACTCCTTCGCAGGACCCTATAAAACCAAACTTTGTGTCCTCAAAGTTAGGCCTAAACCAGGCCCCATATACTTTGGAATCCTTACATAAGCCTTATAAAGAAACCCTATACTTATTACTAAGGCCCTTAGATTAGTCGTGTTGGGGTGAACCAGTTCCAGGCGGCATGGGCTTCCTTTCCGAGGCAGGGTCTGTCTTAAACTTGGGTTTTTTCGGGGTTACGGTTCAGGGTGTTTTAGGGCTTAGGGTTTAGGGGAGTCTGGGTGCAAAACAAAGGTCTTTCAGGGTTTGGGGTTTATGAGGAGTTCTTAGAAACGTTGAAAGGAAGCCCATGTTCTGCAAGATTGCAAAAAAAGTTTCAGCGGCTTCTCTGCCCTTTTTCTGCAAATCCTACGAGCTATGTGTATAGGGTCTACATCAGGGTCCGACTTAGCTTCGATATTTGATATCCTTCATTTCGTGAAACTCGCCAAATACCTTTGGTGGTTCTGCAGTGCTTCCGATTACAAGGGTTTAGGGTGCAGAGAGCTCAGGGTTACTGTCGCCAGCGTTATCGCTACAGCAGCTCTTGTATTTTGTATTAAGTTTAGTGTCTGGTTTCAGGGCTCTGCCAGCAATGACCTGCCGCCATTTCACTTTCACTTTGAGAATCCGTTTCTGGCAGGCAAAGGCGAAGGTTGGAGTCGGTTGGAACTTTCAGAACTCTGACGCAAAAATGGGTAGTTCTTTAAATTAGGGTCCCAATTGGGGTCCTTTTTATAAGGGTGCCGTACTATATTGGGGACCTAAAGGGGACCCTAATTTCAAAAACTACCCAAAATCCCGCTCAAAGCCTGAGCCGGCTTCCTGCGTCTGGCAGAGGCCTCATCTCCAACGATCCACGGCTTGGCAGAGCTTGAGACTGTGGGAGCAGTGGAAGAGTTTTCTGTGCCGGGCTTCGCTATATGACCTGACATTGCAGACAGGGCTTTAAGCCCTCTTATAAAGCCACAAAAAACGAACAGCCTGCACAACCCGCTGAGAACCCCTACTGTATAGATCCAATTACAACCCTGTTCGCACACCTTTGAAGACAATACTCGTGTTAAGATCCGTATAAGACCTCCAGAGCCTGTTTACATTGCAACAGGATTCGTAGGTCTCGGAAAAGGAAGCGCACCAGGGCGAGATGCTGGGTTTAGGGTATCGGGTGTGGGATTTCGGGGTAGCATGTCAAATCTCCAACTGCCTCAGCTGCCTCAATGCTACCTAAACCCTAAACCCCACCTACACCCAGTCTGGGATCAGGGGTTGGCCCTCAACATACCTACACTCGTCCCTGAACTGTTAGACTGCAATACAACACAGTCCCATCTCGCCTTGTATTCTCCATTGTGCTAGTACCCGAACCCCTGCCCAAGGAATGGCAAGTGGTCTGTGCACATCAGCACGAGGGATCAGGACGCCGATGCACTTGGGTGTTTTTTTCTGGCTTGAGGATGGCTGGCTGTTTTGTGTGGTTGGCAGTTTTAGCCTGGCCATTGACGGAGCGGTGCAAGAAGAGGGCCTGCACGCGGACGCTGCCGACACCTGGTCGGGTGACTGTTTCAAAGCCGGTACCCATAGCCATGGCTGTGTGCATCAGTCTCCCCTGGAACCGTCCTCAACATTCGCGTGATCAATGGGGAGTGGGCACGACTGTAAAAGGCAGGAGTGCTTTACGCCCGTGTGATCAACATTTGGACTCCTTGCGTGCCGTGTATGTCTGCTGCGAGGATGCCTTTACTTGAGGAGTTTCGTGGTCCGAATTAGCAAGATCATGAAGTCATTGGAATAAGCCCCAAACCCTGCACACCAAAGCGTTTTCAGGAGATGCCGCCAGAGAACTTTGAGGACGGGTTCGTCGAGGTCCGATGTGTTTTGTGTGTAGTCTCACCTCGCCTGTAAAGCCTGAACCCCGAAAGCTTATGGACCCCAAACCCTGAACTGCATCGCCAGGCAACCAAAAGCCTAACACTGGCTGCGCTTGGTTGCGAAACTGATGCAGGAATAAGCTTCGCCTGCTTGACACCCAGTGGCTCCTGAACACTTCCGCTCGCAGGTGCCTTTCCCGGCTGAGTCACACAGGGGTGGGCTGCAGCGCCGAATCTCCGAATATGAGCTGCTCCACGGCTGTTCGATCGGTTTGCTTGGGTTTCACTCTGTGTTCTTCGCTTTTTTAACCCCCGGACGAGGACATGTGGCTTGTCTTTCTGTAGGAGAAGACGTTTCTATGCTGTTGCTCTCCAGAGCAAAGGCGTGTGCTTTCTCTTCTTCGTCGAAGAGGACGCTTTTTAATTCGCCAGCGCGAAGACATGTGGCTTTCTTCTGTTCGTCTGTCCGAGAGGACGTTGTGATTAATTCCACATTGTTTTTCTTTGCTTTTTTTACCTCCAAAGCGAGAACGTGTGGCTTTCTCCTTTTGTCTGTCGGGGAAGACGTGCCAGCCTTCACGCTTTTTAAGGCGGTATCATTGTTGTTTGCCTTTTCTGCTGTATTCGATTATGATATTTCATACTAACTATATTTTGCATCTTTTGTTTACATCGTCTTTGTATTATGAGCGCGACAAGTTGTGGCTTTTGGCGGCTTGCCAGGAAATAACGGTCAGGCAGGGCCTTTTTTGCTGGCATGAAGCAGCTCCCAGGTTTGAATACGATGAACAGGTTGTCATGGCTTTAGGGCTTGGGGCTCAGGGTCAGTAAGGCTTCAGGGTTTAGGGTCTCGGGATACTAAGAATCAGCACTTTAGGGTTTGGGGTTTAGGGTTCAATTCAGGGTGGGATGGTGTGGAGGGCAAGCAACACCCAGGACCTACAAGGAAATCTTTGGGGCTACGAGTTTTGTGAACTGTAGCGCGACATTGAAGTGCTTGCAGTCGTGAGTCGTGAACCCAAAATCAAGTTGCACCGACACGTTCCGCCACCCTCTGTGCCATCATTAACATGCGTCCTTGCTCAGATTACTGGCATATCGCCCTGAATCTTGAATCCCAACTAACTCCGTTTGGGGGATTAGGGAAACCCGAATTACACCCTAAGCGCCTCAAGAATCGACAGCCGAGAAAGGCTTTGGCTTCGGCGAGAGGTTTCTTTGCCGTCGGACTGGCAGAGGGCCCTTTGTCAGCTTTGGGGATGGTTTTTGAACCCTGAGACGAAACTCGAGAGTGCAGATAAAAAATATTGATAACAATAATGACAATAATTAAATAATAATGATACTAACAACAATACTAGAAGATAGTAGTTATAAAAGGCATTCCTCATGACTCCCTCGAAGAAGTCTCTTGCTCATTATCCAGTCTTGATGATCCCCTGAACCCTAAACCCTAAACCCTAAACCCTACACCCTAAACCCTAAACCCTAAACCCCGAAGAGTAGAGTTCTACCAAGAGAACCCGAAAGCTTCGGGACTTGCGTTTTAAGGGCTCAGACCTTTGGTCCACCTCCTCTGCCTATTGTATCATTGCTAATTATATTATTATTATTATTATTATTGTTATTATTATTATTGTTATTATTGAAATAATAATAATAATAATTATTATTATTATTATTATTATTATTATGGTTTTGTTGTTCTGCTTCATTAGTCGTATTTTTTGTGGTGGTTCTTAGTATTGTGAGTATCAGCACGATTATTATTGTTGTGATCCTTCTTGGGTCCAGCCAGCCGCGCGTTTGAGGGCAGAAGACTAGCGATCCTGTAGTAGGGCGTCGTGACGCGGCCTTAGAGATGTCGTGCATCAGCCTAGTCTGTCTAAGCCGCCTTTCAGCAAGTTCGTTTCTGACATGGGCACAGATTTTCAAACTGAGGGTTCTAGGCATGTTTCCAAACCTCTTGGCATTGAGGGAAGCCAGAAGTCTTGACTTTAGCAAAGTGGGTCTTGGTCTCGGTGACTTCCAAGCAGGTATCCGGTCGCAACAATTCACCAAGAAGGAGTCTGCAACCTTAAGCAAACTGATTGACGACTTCCATTAGTGTAAGTCTCATCCTTAATTCAAGGATTTCCGAAAGGTCTCACCCTTATCAACGAGTCTACTTGTAGCAAAACCTTGGATACACTGGAGGTCCTGCTGCAATTGGATGCGTCCCTTGGCCGAATGCACACGAGCATCCAGCAGGTGCGTGGCGTCACTCCTGCACTGAAACGTATTTGGGTCCGGGCTGCGTTGAAGCTCATGCTTTTCAAGTTCATTTCCTTTGTCCGGGTGGCGTGGTCCCCAACCCCAAGCTTTTTGGGTTCAGGGGCTTCTAACCCCTGGGTGCTTTTTACTCGGGTAGCCTCCAATAGCTAAGAAGCAAAAAAACAAGACCCGAGTTAGGATCACGCTATCACACTACCCACGACGGACACAGCAGATGCTGCCGTCCCCTCCAACCTGTTCGCTTACCCGCTTTTCGTTTGCAAAGGCCCGGCAAGGCGTTACAGGCCTCACCCAGCAAAAACCACAAAACCGCAGCCCAGCAGCTATGCCAACAGACTCATAATCCGGTGCCTAGAAGGCCTACAGTAACTGTAAGTGCAACGTGTTAAAAAAAAACATTGGGGGGGTGGTTCACGCCGAGGCTACATATCGCAACCACCAGCAAGAATCTTTCCTCCCATCCCCGGTCAAAGTACTTAATGGCCCCCCACCAAAACAATCCAAAACACACGGTGGTTGCACCTTTGCTGACACTCTGTTGCATTTGCTCGGCATCGTCCGCGTGACGTATGATGGGCAAGGGCACGTTCCTGATGTCCCTAAACCCTAAACCCTAAACCCTAAACCCCCTAAACTCGAATCCCCATCCCGAAGCCTGTAAGACTCCAGCGAACCCTTGCAACCCACCCGACACCCGCAAACAAAACCCCGCTCTATAATAATATAAGGGCCTTATATAGGGGGTTCCTTATTATGATTATAGTAGAAAATACCCCAAAACCCTATTCTAATTATTAAGGCCCCTGCATTAGACTTTAAACCCAAGGTGCGACTGGGAGTGTGCCGTGTTCGCAGACGGAATCCTGCTCGGCATTCACCGAGGCGGGGAGCCCTCAGCTTTTAGGGTTACCGGGTCATCAGTTTAGGGTTTAGGGTTTAGAGTTTAGGGTTTAGGGTTTGGGTTGTTTATGGGGTCTTACATGGCTTACTGAGGCTGTTTTGGCTTGCTTTGCTATGGGGCTTGGCTGGGCTTGACAGGCTTTTGCGGGAGCTATTGAAGGCTTTACAGGGTACTTTGGCTTTGGGTCAGAGGGCCCGAGGCCTGTGTCATACTGCTAAGATTGTTTTCGGGCTGAAGCTCACTTGTAAGGTAGGGCTCGGAGTGCTTAGTCAGAGTATTCCCTTATCGTGCCTTTGAGTCATACTACAAAACCTACGCCCAAACCCTGTTATTAAGTATTGATGCTTTTGCAGTCTGTTGTGAATGGCGAGCAGCGGTGCAAAGCAGCAGTTCAGAGTCGAGCAAGGGCTAAACCCTCACCCCTAAGCCTCCTTGGCTTTCAGGATTATAGGTTTTATAGGGTTTGGGGTCTAGAGATTAGGGGGTTTAACTATAGAGTTTAGGGATTATACTCAGATCTCAGCCCTTTGCACGCAAAACCTAAACGCGGGCTCGTCCTTGCTAGGAGGGAAGAAACCCCGAAACCCTCAACCCCAAACCGTTTAGAACTTAGACTCTCCGGTCGAAAATGCAGGATGGGTTTTGCAGATGCTGAGTCCTTTCATCAAGGTGAAGCAGGCTTAGGGTAAAAGGGGTTTAGAGTTTAGGGTATAGGGGCTTAGAGTTTATAGGATTTAGGATGGTATGGGGGTTAGGGCTTTTTTAAGTTTAGGGTTGAGATCGCAGCATTTGGCTTGGCCCCAAAAAATGAGTTTGCATTGTCCAGCGGGGTCCAGCAGGTCAAGTTTTCAAAAATCATTTGGTCATTCTAGAACTATAAGGCTTAAACCACGCTGAATCAAAGCGACTTAGTCACTGAGTCTTCCTTTATCGCTGCTGTGGGGCCAGCTGCTTTGGCGACGCAACCGACCAATGCAACCTGCAATGGCGAAGCACGCACGTCGAGGTTGGAGTGTGCAAGGACCTTATGATGCGCGTGAACTCTGTGGCTAGGCGGGCCTTGGGATGTTTTGTTTTCCTTGATCGGGCTTCGGATATGATGCGCTAATAGCCGCTAAAATTACTCAGAGGCTTCAAAGAGCTAGCCTAGGTTCTTTGAACACACCCCGGCGTCCTGACCTACCGGCCTTCATGCTCGTTCACAGTTTGGTGAGCCTGCCACCACCTCAGAAGCCGGAGGAGGTAAGGGATGATGTGGACCTGGAGCCTTGGTTTGAGAGCTCCTTTGAGGCGGGGAAGCTAAACCTGCCGGGCTCACCATGCCATTTGTCCATGGCCTGCCCAACCTCGACTCCCGTGGACTTGCAAGCTCTCGGCACGAACTCATCGGAGACGCTTCCGGAGCCCTCGCATTTCTGCGCTTCGTTCGACTCAGGAGGCATCTTTGCCGAGCTGCCTGAACATGTGCGGCGAGCCCCGGACAGGAGAACTCACGAGCTATACGTGCAATACCTGGACCAGTACCTGCAGGACATGCAGCTGGACAAGCGCGGCTTCAGACTTGCGGTGCTTCGCCGACGTCGGCGTGATTTCCCAACCGACAGCTTGCAGACAAGATTTGCCTCGCTCTTTCCAAGCATGTCTCGGCGCAGACTTGCCGTAGGGCCTGGCACTTGAGTAGAAACAGCCCTCGCGGTAAGTATACATATATATATATATACACACATACACACACACACACACATATATATATATATATAGATATTATATGTATGTGTTTGTGTTTCAGCCGAAATGGTGTGCAGATTTCCTTCTCTGTCATCAGAGGTTTATGCAGTTTTGCGTTCTGTCGAGGCATGATGTCCTTGCTTCGGCAGAGTGCCACAGTCTTGGCCAGGCTCCGCAGGCTGGGGTCTGAGAAGTGGGTAATGTGGGGGGGCCTTTTTACTTAGAATAGGGTTTTGGGGCCCATGATACTATACTTATAAAAAGGAACCACCCAAAAGAATAGAGGTAATTATCTAGGCTTCTAGATTATAGTATGCTGGTGCACATGACATGGCGTTCATGCTCGCCTCCTGTGCAGCCACAGTGTGGAGCCGCGGCTCCGTTTCCCAGCTGCGTTTTGAAGCCCCAGCTACTTTGCCAAGTGCTTTGTAAGCTGGGTAGCCGCTCGGTCAACATGTCCGATCGTACGGGTGACGGTTGACTTCTTTGAACGGAGTTGCCGACATGATCTGGGCGTTTGATATGATTGCTTATGTAGCTCAGAGTTGGGTCTGTCATGCACCGGTTCGAACCTTCAATTCAACAGCCTAGCTGGCCTAGCTGTCAGCAGTCTTTCTCTGTGTGAGCCCGCCGGGCTATCCATGTTCGTGCCGGTGCTTGGCAGATTTCCATACTCAGGAACGGCAAGAGCCGTTGTGTTGTTTTCCAAAGCTCCCTGGCTCGCAGCTTGCTATGTAGCATCATGCACAGAAGCACAATGGACCTCATACCCTTGCAGTAGCAGGGTGGAGGGCGCCAACATGGTTTATTTGCTGCAGGAAGAGCTCAGAGAGGATTGAAAGGGAACTTTTCTGGCGGAACGATATTCCAACAAGTCGGTGCCCCGAGGTGCGGTTGTGTGTGGCAGGCATCCCCACCGCGAGAGATACATCGACCGGCCAATTTTTGTCCTGTTCCATGTTCCTAGGTGGTTCCGAGTGCTCTGGGTTGCAAGAGGAGTGATTGACTTGCCAGCAAGACCAGAGACCACCCACCGTGCAGCATCCTTGACTTTGCGAGGCAGATGCTCCGAAGCATGTTTGCTGCTTTTCATAGCATTTCCGGGGAGGTATCCGGCAACCCTTTCGACAGAAAGATCTGGCTTGGAGCACGAAATGTGCGCCCCCAAGGCAGATCACAGGCTGTCATCGCTGTCATCTGATGCGTCGGCGCGCTAACTTTCTCTTCCGCAAGGAGGACTGGGCTTTGCTCAGATTCTTGCCTTGCAGCCGCCCGGTCAGCCTTCAGGCAGTGCTGAAAGACTACCTTAAACTACCAAAACCTACCTTTTTTGTAGGGTCCCTATAAATTCTATATTAGGGTCTAGAATAAGGACCTACAAAAAAGTAGGTTATGGTAGTTCAAGGTACGATAAATCCCAGACCATTGAGGTTGGCCACGGTTTAGGGTTTAGGGTTTAGGGTTTAGACGTATATGAACTGCGGCACCACACCCAATAGCCGCATGACCCTCATAACCCACGCCAAACCCCGGCATAACCCTGAACCCGACATCTGCTAGAATGCTAAAGCCTAAGTGTGGAGCACAAAGTTCATGTTTG